AAGGCAGAAAGCAAAACCACAAAGCAGCAATTAACCCGGCAATTTGCACAATCTCCGCCTGTCATAAAAGCATGTACAATCATGACACCACACCTTATTTGACACGATTTGGCAGCTGCGTACAATTCAGAGCTGATTCTGATGACTAATAGTAACCTTTTGTTACACTTTTGTACTTGAAAAAATCGCAGTCTGTGATTACCTGAAGGTCAAGGCAACATTGTAGTGAGCTAAAATGTATATTTAATCATATAATACATTAAATCGACTGATTAGGTCCCTGTTCTCTTTGCAAAAAAGCGACTAAATCACCAAAATAAGTGAATGAAATGAGTGTTCTCCTCTCCTCTGAGATATAAAGGGCTCGTGTGTAGAGGTAGGTATGATACAAAATGACTGAAGTGTGTTAAAATATCTGTCATTTGTACTTGGTAGAACACACAGTCCTTATCCCATCAAAAGCATTAAAGGTGTTACCTGTACCTGGATATACTCTCCCTCCCTAAAAACTCTCCTGCAGTCTGGAGTAGAAAAGGAGGTGATTTCGACATTTCCTCTCAGTCTCCAGCTTCTATCTGACTCCCACCGTGGATTTTTTTAGGTGTTTGCACAAGTGAGGGATGTTGTGACTCAGAAAATGTGCATTTAGCGTTATTTCCCGGTATGAATCAATGGTATTACACTATGCTACTCTTTTATTCAGTTGGTATTGATGTTTTTAAAAGTACTCTGAACCAAATGATTACCATAGCATCGATGAGCACATCTCTACCTTGATCACAGTAAGGATTTACACTCTAAGAACACCATAAGATTTTCAGTCAAGTCGAACCCCCAATTTCCACCGCTTCTGGAACGACAGTGATTTTCGCCTTCCGCCAATTCCTACCGGAGGTGTTTGTGAGGCGAATTTTGAGGCTGATTTCGGACAGCAGGAATCGTGAGAACTCAGAAGAACCTGTGTATTCACATACTATCGTGTGATAAAGTCTGTGTTTTTGTTAAGTTGTTTACATTTGGTTCAGTCTGTTGAGGTTTCACACTGTCATTATTGCAAACGGATGAACAGACTTTACATGACGAACCTATGTGAGATCGTCAAGGGTTTTGCGCGTCTGTAGTTTACATTGATTGGTCATTAGGCTGGTGGGCATCTGACGTCAACACGTGTCTTGAATGATGTAAACATGGATGAAATCGTCATTTTCATCATCGTACTCTTTTTGATTTTCTATCTCCAACAGCAACAACTTGAAGAGCTGTACATGAGGCTGGTCTGAGGAAGTCTCATGAATTTGATCATTAGACGACAACTTTATCAACATCGATAGGAAAGGAAAAGAAAGTATGCAACCCTGTGAGACATTGCAACACCGGCTCAGGAGAGAGGTATGTGCTGTAAAACTCTTGAAAAGATAAGCTGTCAATAGTGAGGTATAACTTTATCTAAAATATTGTACATTTTCTGTTAGTGGACAATCTCCATTCAGTATAATAACTGATACCTTTACCCCTTGTGTCTTTAGCATGAGAGAGCCTTTCAAAACAATGCTTTCACACTGGGCATGAATAAGACCATGGTTCAGTTTGGTCTGGACTGAGACTACCTCTTTTGGTTGGACTAAGGTCCGGCTGTTTGGTCCAGACCAAGGTCCTGGGGAGGTTTCACACCTATCATTTTGGCCCGGACCAAACAACGTAGACGTGAAAGCCCCCTAAGGAGCTTTGTTTTGTTCGACATTGTACTTTCTTGAGGACTGAGGTGAATCATCTCATATAACAAGCAGGCTGTCATGTCAGAACAATAAACCTGACAAAGGAGCTCCCCATACCTGACTTTGTTCCCCTGAAAGAGCACAGATGGGAACAGGAGCGTGATAACCATCAGAGTGAGCTGAGGATGGTATTATTCCAATGATGTGTTTTCCTTTGACACTAGAACGGCTCATTGTGGGCATAAACACACACCAGTGCTTTTAAATGGGTTAATTAAGACTGTATCATTGGCAGCAGATGATAGCATGAAAGCAGCCATCAGTCTAATTAAAATGCTCAGGGCCTTGCATTTGCCAGTCTAATCACACCACCATTATTGGTTTTTGCAGCATTTCTGCTGAGCACTCCAGTGTTTGTGCTGTTGACATTAAATGTGCATCCTCCTGGTGTTATTACAGCTCTGGGGAGGTATTATTCCATCGCTGATATACATTACTGTCAGTTTTATAAGCCAATTTTCTATGTGAAGCTGGAGATGATGGCAAACCACAATACGGTCATAAACTGCACACGGGCTGAAAGATTGTGCTGATTGGGGAGTTGTTCTTTGAAATCATTTTATAGCACTTCACATCTTTATACAAATAGCAGAATAAAAACTCCAGTCAGAGACACAAACTTTGCTTTTAAGTTGGAGAATTTCAGTGTTTCTAATTGTGCAAGAGTATAAATGAACAATATGGTAGAGAGGGTTGTCGTGGTAACTGCAGAAATGAAGCACGATGGCAGCTGCAGAGCATGATGGGCGATTACACAACTGCATTCAACGTCTCCTCACCCAAACTTAACCTCAGACGGAAACAACTGAACCACCACCACCTGTAGCAAAACCATATACAAATTTGCCCCTCTGGGAAAATGTCTCGTCTTCACGTTAGCTTGCAGCCTAACATTGCTGGTGTAAAAGATGAAGCAGGTAGCATAGGAGCTATTCAGCTTTCGGACACTAATGTCTTTGGGGACATGATGAAAGTTAATATCATAATTAGCTTTGTTACGAGTATTGCAATCCGCTAACGCACATGCTTGTTCCGCGATCGTCCTCTCTATTTTTCCAGAGTCTGGCCTGCATAGTGGGGCTCTGGGGGCGGAGCTTGGATTTGTGATGTAAGAAATCTTTCTGTGTCTGAACCTGCAGTTTGGGTCTGCCAGAGATTCAGTGATTTGAATGCAGAAGTACTCAAAAGTAAGCTTTTTTTTCTCATGATATGTCCTGTAGCATCAGAAAAATGCCATATGAACGTGTAAAAAACAAGAAAAACATGATTTTCATCGGAGTGGGTCTTAAAGAAAAAGAAGAACCAGACAAAAGACGGGTTTCTGTGCAATGTCATTGCAGGGGGCAGAAAGCGGGACATTTCTTATTTGTTTACTAGCGGAGTCAACGGAGAAAGAGAATGACAAGAAGCTGTTGTGCTGTAAATCGTCGTAAACATTTTTACTTTGACTTTGTTAGAATTCACCAACATTACGACCCTGCTCCTGATGTAAGAAACATTCAAACAAACGTCACAGTCTGGTGAACTGAGTGAAATTCATAGACATTTCAGCGTTTTGTTATTTTTTTATTTGAAATGCAATGAAAGACAAAGTGATTTTTCAATGGAATGACATTTTCTTGCAATTGTGTCAGGGAGAACTTGAGAACAATACAGCATCTTCATTGATATCAGTTCACTCTGAAGCAGGCTTTTGCCCCCTGGTTTTGTGTGCACCTAGTATGGTTTGTACACAAGAAACTCGTCTATTGAGATGACAGGTTTTCATTCAGTTCTGGATGCAGAGCTGGTTCCCCCTCCAGCACAGAGTTAAGCGACTCATGCTGGTGCCAACTGGCTGCTCGAAGTTCGTCGAGTCTTTGTTCAAGTTGCCAAATACAACACTGAAGAAACCGAAGAATCCATTGGAAATTAAAGTCAACGTCAAAACCTGTTGAAAGTCTTCACAATCCACCCCCCCTCCTGCTGCTCCAGGATCCCCAGGATCCAAACCCCTATGGAAGATCTAATCCAAACACATACATCAATCAAGAACTATGGACTACTCCAAATCCACAAGGGCGGCGTGATCTTGCGCAAGTTGCCTGTGATCTGTACGAGCAGGGAGCAGGATTTGAATCCTCCCTCTCAGCACACTCCACAGCTGATCCGTGTCTTTTCTTGTCAATGATCCTTTTCCCACGGGCAGTTTCTCAGCTCCTTCAAGAAAGCATCTCCTCACTTTGTTCAGCTAAAGATAACTTTGTAGATAAATATAATTACTCAACATTAAAAACCTGGAAAAATGACACTTTTTTGGGCACAAAACGTAAAGTGGCGAACATGCATCATTTGGGTTTTCGAGGTCAGGTAACCAACCTCATTTTAAAAGCTTCTAGTGATGGGAATTCACACCAAATCTGTTGGCTCTGCAACTCTTTTGGCTCCCAAACTGGTCCTAGAGCCAGTTTTAAAAGTATGGTCCACCACAATCCAGCTACGGGAAAATGCAGCAAATCAAACAGGTAGAAGGTCAGCCTGGACCGCCTCAGGAGACCACAACAGCCCTGATGATTGACTCTCCGGGGTCACCAACTTTGTAAATTTAAAAAACAGTCTTCTTTTAAACTGTCTCATCTCTAGTTTATTTAACAGCAGATCAAAAACAGAAAGTGATATCCAGCCGTAAAAGAGATGATAATAACCTCTGTTCACCTTTCCTCTGCTTCTTGTAAACACCGACTCTGCGAGAGGTCGCATCAAACTTGGATGAGGAGTCAAAGTTGAAGAGAAGAAGGAATGGATGAATTAGTCAAGACTTGACACTAATATCACTTTCATTTGCAGGCATTAGAGGAAGAGTTTAAATAGATTTAGAGCTTCTTGAACATTTACAGCCTCGAGTCAGAAAACAACTTTCATCCAGTAAATGTCGAAGGTTGACATCATCTTCCTCGGAGTCTGACGTGAGGTGGGTTAGTTTTTATGAAGCAGAAATGCCTCAAATCCCCACCAAAACATTTGTGATGTCTCTTCCAGCTCTCCTGGTGGGAAAAAAGGCTTCTGGCAGTCCTCGTTCTCCGCGAGATATTTTGAATAATAGCTACACCCTCCACCATCCTGTGACCATCTGCTCACAAAGCCAAAGAAGCAGGTTTTACCCCGTCCAGGGGGTAAATGCCATTCAATATCAGTTATGATCAAAGAGGGGCGGCCTGATTCTGGGCCCCCTGGGTAAGCATGTGCTGGTAATTACACGAAACTCTCCCTCGGGGGGCTTTGAGCCATAGGATGAGGATCTGAGAAAAAAAAAAACAGAAACTTGGCGTCAACAAAAATGTATTTTAAATGAGTAAGACAAAGCCGACTGTAAATGCCACAAGTGAGAAAGTATTTTACTCAAAGAAATGCCTTATCCTCATTCTTTTTTGCTCGAACACCGCACCCTGAAACACGGACCCGCCTCTGAGAGCAGCTCTGAAAGGGGATCATAGGAGAACTTCAACCCAGTATTAGACACTGTAGACAAGAGGCATCAGGGTCAGAAAAAAACCTCCTCTTTTGTTTACTTTCTACCATGCTTTTTGTCTTTCTTTACTTATGTATCCCTCAATCTTCCCCTCCATCCTTTTCCTCATTCTTTTCTTTGCTTCTCTCTTTCTTTTCTTCACTTTTCCTTTATTCCCCCTTTTCCTCTCTTTGTCTTTTCCTTGTTTTTCTTTCTATCTTTCTCTCTTGATTTGAGACTTCTCTCTCTTTCTTTCTTTCTCCATGTTCTTTTTGTTTTTTTTTATTCATTTCCTTCTTCAATCTTCCCCCTCCATCCTTTTCCTCTTTCTTTCCTTCACTTCTCTCTTTTTCTTTTCTTTGCTTTTCCCTTTTTCCTTCTTTTCTTCTCTTTGTCAATTCGTCGTGTTTCTTTTTTACTATGCTTTTTGAGAAGCCTTCATATCTCCTGTCATCTCTCTGCCCTTTTATTCTCTTTTCCCCCCTTTTTTCTCCCCTGTCCTTTCATTCCCTGTCTTTTCAATCTCGTCCCTTTTTTCTTTCTTTCTCTTTCTTTTGTCTTTTTCTTCCTTTTTTTCTTTCTTTCATCTTTTTTCTTTCTCTCTCAATTTGTGACTTTTTCTCTCTCTTTACTTATTTGTCCATGTTCTTCATTTTTTTCGATTTCTTTTCTTTGTTCTTTTTCACTCTATCTTGACTTTGTCTTTTTCTTTCTTCTCCTTTTTCTGATTTACTTTTTTCTTTCTATCTGTCCCTCTCACTGTCTCTTTCCGTCTCTCCACTTTGTACTCTTTTTCCTCAGTCTCCTTTCTCTTTTCTTGCTTTCCTCTGTCCTCTTCTTTGAGCTGTTTCTTTTACTCTTTCTTGATCCTCTTTTTTACCTCCCCCCTTCTTTGTCGTCTCTTCTCCATCTTCTGCATGTTTCCGCCTCTGTAAATTTGATTTTCCTGAGCACCTCCTGAAGATAAAACTATTGTGTCAATGCAAATGATTCAGCAGGTATTTCTGAACCCGCTCTCTGATATTCCCTCAGCTGCAGAGGGAAAGAAAACTGACCTGACTCGACACACGCCGAGACACCAGCTGCCTCTTTAAACCTGCTGCAAGGAGCTTCACAGAGAAGTCAAAGCTCCAGCAGCATGTCTCTCAGGTTCAGTCCTCTCTGCAAAGGACTGCAGCTGGGTCCTGAAAAAACAACCCACAGCGAGTTCAAGGGAGCGTGTCAGCTGCAAGTGGGACTTCTCTGAGTTTCTGCTTTTGTGTTTGAAGTTATATCTTAAATTTTGCCTCTTTTAAAATCTACCCTGTTCACCGAGGACGTGTGGGTCTTTTTTAACAAAGAGTTTAACCTTTGAAATCTGTTCACCACCCCCTTTGAATATATGGAACTATTTGAAGTGCTTTAAACTATATTAACCTTATTGGACTGAGCCAGATGTCCGATTTAAATGCCATTAAAGTAGCACAGATGATGGGCTGCTCTGAGTCCAGCAACTTTTTTCATCGTCATGCATCAATATGTTTTAAACAATGTTATAATAGTTGATCTGCTGGATTCCTATGAGTTTAAATGGCTCATTTCCTTTCTGATATGAATTTTCCCCCTGGAGTTCGAATAAAGGTTCAAATTTCCAGGAAAAATGACCTGAAGTCTTGGCATTCAGGACTAGATTTCTGGCACCACAAAGCTAAAGACAGTTGCTGTTTGTCACAGCACAACCTGTAGCCAAGAAGTGTTTCTGTAGCCTAACACTAGAGCTTCTGCATTGGACTATTGCCTAAGGTCTAGGAGTGGGAATCACCAGTGGCCCCAGGATACAATATTATGATGATTCTTGAGCCATGATAAGATATTATTGCGATACTTGGGCCACAATACAATATTATCACGATACACAATTATCACAATACTTCAGCCATGATACAATATTATCATGATACACTATTATCACGATACTTCAGCTATGATACAATATTATCATGATACACTATTATCACGATACTTCAGCTATGATATGAAATTATTGCCATTCTTGGGCCATGATACACTATTGTCACGATACTTGACCCATGGTACAATATTATTGCAATACTTGGGCCGCGATACGATATTATTATGATACACTATGATCATGATACTTCAGCAGTGATACGATATCATTGCAATACTTGGCCACGATACACTGTTATCACGATTCTTGAGCCATGATACAATATTATCACAATGCACTATTATCATGATACTTCAGCAATGATACGATATTATTGCAATACTTGGGCTACGATACACTATTATCACGATACTTCAGCCATGATACGATATTATTGCGATACTTGGGCCACGATACAATATTATCATGATACTTCAGCCATGATACAATATTTTTGTGATTTGTTTCTACATTTCTGGAATACAGTGAGTATTGCAATACAATATATCGTGATTTATACCGTTTTTTCAACCCTGAAGCTAATTTAGCATTTGTCTTTCCTTTATGTTATGTAGTATTTTATTTCCATGTAGCACATCTTCCAAACCTTATATATACAGTATATTTGTTGTACTAACTTTCTCCTCCTCTATGGTATCACCTCTGCCAACCTCACTGGACAACAAGTTGATTTTATTTTTCCATTATCATAGATTTGGCTTCATATTAGCAATTAATTTGAAAAAATCAGTACTTGGTTACTGAGGTGATACAATATCACCAGACAAAATATCACAATACTATCGATTTTTTCTCCCACCCCTACCAAGGTCCATGTAGCCCCTCTTGTAAAACAACATTGTGCATCATCTTGAGCACTGTGATTGGATTTCAAAGATTCATTTTCTGAGCACAGCTGTGTTAGCTTTACGTGAAGAGTATAATCACAGTAATGAAGCACTTCCAGAACATGCATGACAACTCCGACCTTTGCCAAGTTAAGGGCATAAGGGTATTTTGTAGCTCTGCTCAAACATGTTTTTGGCAAGAGACTTAGAGCAAAATGAAAATCCATCCACAATTCATTTTAAAAATTTGTGGTTTTCATCCCGCTGACTCTCTGTAATAAATGCTCAAAGTGATTAACCCCAAATTATTATGCACCTCACCCCTGAATCTCTCAAATTAATCACTGTAATCAGATTCCTTCTTTGTGGCTCAGGCTTTTGTTTTAATCTTTATGGCTATAACCCGTGTCATTAATTTCTCCATAATTTTTCTTGTAAAAATCGCACAGATATGCCCAATTTCACTTGCAAATAATAGCCTTCTGTATCACTCTGCTCTGGGTACTGTTAAGCATACTCCCCCTGTCCCGTGTTTTCCACTTAGTTCCACTGTAATATTGTAAAGATGCTTTCTGTACATCCACAGACACAGCTTTAGGTTTCAACCGTGAACAAAACAAGCCGACCTGAATACAGTGTTAAGAATGGATCGACCTTATTTAGGCCAGAGCTGCTACATCACTCGGCAAATGGACTTCAACTAATGAGAGGTCAAGTCATTACGTTGGCTGCAGCCAGAATGATGGTGATGATAGTTTGGGGGAATGGCATTTCCTGGTAAACTTGGACGAAAAAGGCCAGACACAGAAAAGTACAGGAAGAATGACACAGGGAGAGACTGATGACAGAAATTGTGGCTTTTCCTGAGCCACTTTTGTTATCCTGGGTTTCATGGCGGATACATATACACCGTGTTCGTCTGCTTGTTGTGTTGCGATAATGGAATAAATAAAACACAAAGGTCAGACATATAATGTCGCTTAAAAAAGAGATAACCAGCTAATGTTCCCACAGGAGGTGCATTTGAAATGATAGAGACATTAAACAGCATTATAGCTCAGATGATACGGTCCTTATTGAGCCATATGCTGCATAATGTCGGTATAAACAGCAATGTCAGATAACCACTGCTTTATAATAGCAGCGAGACATAAATTGAATCATAAGTTGGCATCTGCTGCAGGTGTCCCAGATTGGCTCATATACTCTTTGTGTTAGGGGTCCCACAGACCGGTACCGGGCCATAGGTCGTTTCAAACCCAGTAAAGTGGCCAAGAGAGGGGGTGTAATCACCATAAATATACACTGCATTGTGTTTATTTCTTATTTTCTGCATACAACCAGATTTTTTTCATCACATATCACAACAACAAAAGTTTAAGTAATTTTATATTTATGATTTTAGATTATTTTCTCACCAACAAGGGAAAAAAACAAGCAAAACACTGGTGTAATTAAAGTATCTGCTTTGGTCTCCCCAAACACCTTGAACTACTTTCCTTCCTTTCATTTCTGGGCAACAGGAAACAGCTGAGCTATTCATCTTCTAATAAGGTAATGCACTCTCCAAAAAGTGTTTCTCCCATCCACCATTGAATTAATTTGCCTGTATCTCAAGACCGAAGGACCATTTAACAAATCCTCTTTTGATTCTAAGTAGCTCCCTAATGCATTGGTCCCTTCTTGGTGCAGCCATTTCCAATTAATCCTTCTGCATTATGCATGATTACATTAAACAATCCAATAAATTGATATGGAGTCTCTGGCTAGGGAAGGACTCTGTTAATGGATATAAAATGGAGTTACACCACTTTGGGATGATTCATTATTTCACTTATTGTTCCAAAAGGTAACATGTTAGGTCTGGGTGACACTTTTATTTAAGGTTGGCTCTTTCCCTGAACATCTTCACCTTTATGTTGTGTGCTCATTAAGATTCAATAATGGACTGGTACTCCAGGAGGCCTCAGAGCACACTGGAGTGAAATCCTAAACAGCGGCTCTTGCTTTATATCTCACTCTGAACTTCGGGGGACAAAGAGGAGATGATTAGCTTAGCTTAGCACTAAAGAAGAAAATCAAATCTCTAACTTCACAAAAAGGCATTTTCTAAAATCTGCTTTGTGCTCTTTCATTTTTTGGATACTTTCATCTCTCGCGGTTGTCTGGGAACACATGTAAAGGCTTTTACCCAATAGTCTGCTTTTTTTGAGGGCAATTTGTCTTTCTTTTTTCGGCTCACTTGGAATTACTTTCCACATCTGGTGCACAAAATCGCACATTAATTTTAATCAGCCTTTTTGTAAAAGTCCAAAAATGCACCAGCCAACCGAAATCACTCAGTAAAATTGTGCTCTATTCACCTTATTTTTGCGTACAAGTTGGTCGACTTTACACAGATAGAAAAAAGTATTATCTATGGATCTCGGAAAACAAAGGAGACAAAATAAGAGATTAGAGATTTTGCAGTGGAGTGACGTCACTGGAGGCGTTTTTTAGTAAACTATGTCATGTAATTTGACCCATTCTCACACCACACGCCACACTTGACATTTCTCACGCTTATTTTTCCCCATTCAATACTGTGTATTTATTTTTTTCATGATAATAAACTTGGCTTGCCGTAGTTCGAGTCACCCTGATTGACTGACCGAGATAACCAATCACAGAACAATCCATCAATCCTTTGTGCCTAGATCTAACCAACCATGAAAGGCACCACACAATATAAACCAATCAGGGGCAACGTAAGGCAGGTCTTTGTGTCTTTAACTATCTTTGACATACAACAGCGCTGACATTTAAAACCCACTTGACGTACACCTGCTCTCCTGAAGGCGGGTGGTATGTAACTAGGACACAAGTTTCAAGGTATAAATCAACATTAAAAAAGACTCACTCTTAATATTTTCTGAAACTTGGCAGCCCTGCTGTATAAAGAATGCACACTGTCTGCTTCCTGGCCAGGTGAAGCCAACGCAAGAACAGCACCCTCTGGTGACAGGCTGCAGTATAGGTCACAAATCCCGCTTACGCCGAATGTCCTCTTTTACCCTAACATGTCCTCTTTTTAGGGGGCTGCCCGGCCTTGTCTGGTGCTGTCCAGGGGAGTTTATAAAATACTTCAAATGTGTAGGGTTTTGTATGGAAGTTTTGAGTTTGTGTTGCGTGGACTTTCTGTGTTAGAAGCGCGTAAAAGACACTCGATCTGACCCGAAAAAATCTCAAAATTAACGACATGTGACTCTGCCCCCTGTATAGTTGTGTCCCTTTATTAGGAGATTCAGAATACGGTCACCCTAGTCCAACGCTACTGTGCAAGTGGTGGTCCTAGGAAATGGAGAAAATCCTGGTAATGGCGAGAGCAATTCGGCTTCAAATTCGTATAATGACAGAAGGCGGAGCCAAGTTGTCCATCATATACTGTATATAGTCTATGGACACAACACTGAAAAACCATACTGCGCCCTTTATTTTATGAATCTTTTTGTAACACACAGTCTTATGATCTCCAAGACAGATAAGTGATTAAAAAAAGTGTACTACCCCTTTAGTGTTTTTACATAACAAATGAACTATTCAGGCCAAAACTGTTTTTGTGTGCATCTTTAAATAATAAGAACTGGCCTGCTGTTTTTTCTTTTACAACAGTATCAAACCTCGTTGTGTCATGTTCTTAACAAAAATCCGCCGTTCAATCAGAGGGCATCACATTTTCGTTCATTCATTGTGAAAAAGTACAACACAGAATGACGCAGAGAAGGGAATAAATACCGAGCTGCACGCCAACAACACTGTCACCACGAAGCGTGTCCTCCAGGCCGTCATCACGAGCTCTCCTGCTGTCTCTCCTCTCATTATACTGCCCGTCTCCTCGTCTTCTCCCTCACCCCCCCTCCTCGCCTCTCTCTTCTTTGTCTCTCCCTCTGCAGTTGTCAACTCCCTCCTTTGTTGCACACCGGCTATTAATGCCTAGTAGCTGTCAGGGAACCTGTGGCTTGCCTAGAGCTTTGTACACTGACGCACACCTCATGGTGAGACTAGCTCGGTTCCAGCTGATCCTCGGGTAAAAACACTGAGCCGAACACAATTTAAATATATCGGAAAACATTAAAATCTTTGGAGGTAATTGATATTATTGATTCATATGTCATTAGCTTCAAATGTGCCACAAGGTGTTTTTGTTTTGTTGGTCAGAAAGAGGCAACGGTCTTACTCAAGTCCTCACAGGAGATTCAAACAAGTCATCACCACCACACTCTCTTTTTTACCTTTCATTCGCCACCCCTCATGATACGCTTAACCCCTGTAGCTCATTATTTCCCCTCCTGCAGGGTTTTATTATTCAATTAGCCAACTGAACCCTGGTTTGAATCATCAATCAGTGAATCTAATTAATCCCGCTCAACTGTCTCACCCAATCACTAACCTGTCCCCTCTTCAAAGGGTAACTGCTCCGGTATCATTTCAAAAGCAGGCATGATTAAAAGCCTCCGAGAACGGTTGTAGGTGTTTAGAGAAGCGACGTGTTTTAATGACGATGGGCAAAAAAAAAAAACTTGACCCCTCTGTTTATGTGAAGGTAGAGTGGTTCCCCTAGGGTGACCGTACATCCTCTTTTACCCAGACATGTCCTCTTTTTTGGGGGTGTCAGGCCTTGTCTGGCTTTGTTCGGGGGAGTTCATGAAATCCTTCAAATGTCTGCGGTTTTGTACGGAAGATTCGAGTTTGTGTCGCTTGGGCTCACTGAGTTAGAAGCATGTAAAAGACGCTCGATCCAACCCGAAAAATTAACTACGCGTGACTCAGTGACTCCGCCCCCGTGTAGTTGTGTCCTCTTTTTGGGATATGGTCACCCAAGGTTTTTCTTAAAAGTCAAAGTTTACTTAAATCAGACCAAAGACAAGGTCAAAAAGTTCACGAGCAGGATTGACTTGGGGCTAAACTTTCTATAACTCGGTGTCATATGAAGGGAGTCTCCAGGTGGGATGGTTGCAGCGTAGTCGAGTCTTGTCTTATTGATGGTACACTTCTTTAGGGCTGCAGCTATCGAATCTTTTAGTAATCGAGTATTCTACCGAAGATTCCAGCGATGACTAGAGTAATTGGACCCAAACGGCAGACTGAGATGCAGTGAGATTCCGTACATCACAAATCCAAGCTCTGCCCCCAAAGAAATAGAAGGCCAGACTCAGAGACATAAAGAAGACAATCGCTGAACAAGCGTGTGCGTTCGCAGATTCGCAGAAAGCTAATTATGATATTAAGTTTCATCATGACGCTTGAGACATTAGTGTCCGATAGCTAAATAGATCCTATGTTACCTGCTTCTGCTACTACACTGGCAATGTTAGGCTGCGAGCTAGCGTGAAGAGGAGTGTGCAGAGCAGCGCTGTCTCCACCCACGACTCAGAAATGAATTGCTAATGATCTACTGGAGATCTGCAGAAGAAAAGCCCCTCTCATCATTCATTTTTACCGTTCCGCAAAACCAAAACTGCGCTTACTCCTTCTACCATGGGGACATAAGCGCGTTGTGTGACCTTGACAATAATCTGTGCGAAAAAGTGGCGATTCAAGCTTATAAATGAGTGTTGAGGCAGAGAAATTCCTCGATCGTTATTTGTAATCGGTGTACTCAAGGAATTGTTTCAGCCCTTCACTTCTTTATCTTGAAGGTAATGACTAGGAATCAACTTAGAGGACACACAAGGCTCAGAGTGACCTAGACCTTTGTTTTGAGTCTCGCTACACAAGCTTGTTTGGGCCCCTGAAGCTTTTCATGGATCCCTGGATAATAAATCACAGTGCAAGACCAGCGTCCTCTATGATCCTCCCAGTATCCCAGCCACTGCTCTGCCATCTTCAGCACCACCAGCTACCACAAACCTCCAGCTACACCAATTTACTTCCTGCTAATGTCACAGATTGTCCTGATCCTGTCATGCCGGGGAAACCTCTGCTCCTCATGTTGCGTAAGCTGCTCCACCTGATGCTCTTGCTGCTCCGCTTGTTGCTTAAGCTCTGAAATCCACCTCCAGAGAGCTGCTCGCCTCTACCTCCGCCGGTGAGGTTTCCACTGAGGATGACCTCAGTCTCCAAGCGCTCAGCCTTACACCATGAAGGGGGATCAAAAGGGCGAAAGGCAGCAATCAACTGCCACCCTCTCTGACGTACCTGTCAAGAAGAGGGGGGAAAAGGCCAGGGAGGTGGAGAAAGTGAGGAAGCGGCTGCATAAAGAGAATTTCAAGAAGATGCTAAAGCCTGCAGAGGAAAGTTACCACTAAAAAGTTGAAGATGGGCACATTTTGAGGACTTCCAGTCTTGTGAAGGTTGTTCAATTCTTGGTTAAAACGCTCAAAAATATTATCCTGTTTAAACTAAGTGGAATTGAACAGAACTTTCTCTGCAGAGAAAGCAGGACTTCAGCTTTCCACCCACTGCATCTAATTGTTTTGGCGTGTTGGTTCAGTCCCAACAGCTCCTTTTCATGTAGAGCTTTAGAAGTTGTTCCCGGTAAACAGCCTCAGACAGGCTGCTTGTAACCTATACCTGCCCCTGGTGAAATAACCGAGCGCCTAAGTAAATGAGATTTAAACATCTCGAAAACCAGAGGCCCTAAGATGATGTCTCCAGAGATGCAAAGCAATTAAAAATTGGGCTCACTTTCAACAGGTGACTTAGGAACTTAGGAACGATGCTTTTGTTGTGTCTGCCCCATATGAACAGAATTAATTTTACCGCCCTGTAAACAACAAGAGTTTACAACAAAGTATTTTACTCAGATGTTAGTCTCTGTGTGTCTTTCAGTCGAAGCGCACACAGCCCTCCATCCCTGCTGACCATGTTTACACAGCAGCCATTTTCCAGGGTAAGAGGCTCCGATAATGTAAAGATATTAAGTCAGCCGAAATAGCCACTTTAAAAATCATCAGCAGCTTCACAGATAATTGCCAGTGAAAATCCTGAGAAAATCATTTCAAGATATCTCACTCGTAACAGTCAACAGCAGCAGCTACTAATATAACCGTGAATTAGAAATCTACTACATGGTCAAATGATTTACTCAAAGTCTACAGCAGCAACAGTTTCATCGGCAATATTTTTGTCTGTAGTTTGAGAATTGTTGACTTTTCAGCTCAGAAAGAACTCAGAAGTTGGCGCACACACACAGACTGTATAATAACATGACGAAGCATCAGTGACGTAACTCATTGGTTTCTGGAGTGGAGTTTTGAAGCTAATCGGTGGCAGTCGCCATATTCGGTGGCAGACACAACTTTTCAAAGGGTTACAGTGTGCCTGCCTGATAGTCAAGTCAGGTGAGCCTCTGATTCCTCAGTCCCGCAATCTTAACAACTACAGAAAATAACGAGACAGGTTTTTCAATAAGGCTGTAAACATGTTTAATCATCACAGTAGTGATGGAAATTATGGCTCTTTTTTTTAGTGAACCAGATCATTTGGCGTTTCACAGAGGGAAACCAGCTCCCACCGTTCATGCCAAAGAGCTGGCTCATTGAATCAGTTCGTTCGTGACCGACACATCACTACATCAGAGTAAAGGAGTTACAGTGGAAGGAACCGTTACGGACTTTCCATCGCTACGAATGTCTGCTTCAAATCAATACAAGTATCTGTTCTGCCTGACCCATTTAACAGCTCCTCAGTGTTGAATCAGTATCAGTATCAGTATTTCTTTTTCTGAATCTCGCTCTGAACTTTGGGCTTTTAAATAAAAACAAGAATGCACTTTTTAACAGTTTAAACTAAAAGTTCATGATCTCTTAAAAAACAATTAAAAAGATCAGATATCTAACGTTTTTTTGACCAACAACCAGGAATATTTTAGTGCAAAATCATTTCAATGTTTTCACTCCCAACCCCGAGCGTGTCTTCTGCATGAATATGGAGGATGCTCTTTCAGTTTTCTCGCTGTGAAAATGAATGAACGAGCCGCAGCTGAATGATCTGAGTCTGGCTGTCAGTGATTCTTTGCATCACAGCTTCAGTTTTCGCTCCGTTGTTAAGGCTCAGCACGAAGTTCACAAGCTGGTCAACCATGTCTGCCTTGTCCATTTGTTTCCATCAGCTTCTGCGGCTTTATTAAGAAATGGTGTGCTGTGTTTGAATATTCGACTGTGTCTGCCTTGCTGCTGAGAGAAACAGCTCCTTTTTAACCCGGCTGAATATCCCAGGTGCTCCAGGATCAGCCACGCTCACATGTTCAGAGTGATGGTTTCATCTTCCTGATCTTGTCTGCCTTTATATACAGAGCTTTAATGGCCTGTCTGCGTATGTTTAGCTTACTATCCATCTGGTCTGACTCAAAATGACCCACACACTTCTCAGCTGACTCACACCATGCATATGAAACAGTGTGACCATGACGACGAGGTGATGGGGGATATGTATCATCGTCAGAGAGAGATGTGACATTATTCATAAATTAAATGTTATTTTTGGATGTGTAACTTTGATGTAAGATGTGTCACGGCCCGCATCTTACGAGAGTGAGGGAGATTCAAAGAGGTTGAAGTCGCAGAAGCTGAAACGAAGATATTTTATCTACTTGAGAGGCTTCAGCTTGAAGTTGCATCAGGTGTTTGTATTTGCAGCATGTCTGAACTTGTTTTTTTTTCACAGGAAATTCTCGTACAGTAATTACCGAATGTAGATTTTAGCCCCATGTGGCACAACACTTGAGACACTGACGTGACTTGCGAACACTTGGGAGCAATTCTCTTAACATGACTTTATTAAACTGCTGATCGTCAGGTCTAATTAGAGCTGTACTTTTTCTTATAAACTGTTAAGTGCAGCTTTTATCTGCCACGTTGATTTCCTGCTCACTTAGATTTTTTTTTATGTGAGTGTTGTGCTTTACCGTTGGTGAACAAGCAATGTGATTTTAAAGTTTTAATTCAATGGTTGTTCAGTTGAGTAAATTACGCTCCACTTTTTTGTGTTGTTACTTTCAGACAAATTAAGCATCTGAAAGTCCTGTTGTGGTCCACATGAGTCAGGGATAGGTCATGAAGTCTGTTTTCACAGGAAATACATAACCAATTTGTCATCAATGTGAAATAATAAACAGTCATGGGTCGGCATATGGGGCTTAACATCCTGTCTAGGTTGATTTCCGTTTGGAGTAATGCTGGGTGCAGGCTGTGTTGAAACTGAACTCGCCGTGTATCTTTAGCGGAGAGACACTTCTGGGATGGAGCTTGGACAGCCATGACACATGTGTGGCATGGAGCATTGGCAAGAACAGGAATGCAATTGCTCAGACAAAGAAACAGACAACATGAACCTCGTCCAAGAAGACCAAAATGTAGTAAAGTTAGACAGGAAATAGAAAGTAACAAGTAAAAAAAGACAAAAACAGTAAATGAAATTGATTAAAAGTAAAAAAAAAATACTGAATGGGTAGAAGCAATAAGAGGACATGAGAGAAAATCTTTAAAATACTGTTGAAACCAGAATACATTTATTGTTTTTTAAAAGGGTTTAAAAGAGTTTAAACTGTGAAGACTACCGTACCATTGTGTTCAGCAATGGGCAGTTTATATGCAGTCGTGTAGCTCTTTCAAACCCCCAAGACATCTGATTTCACCATCTTGAAAGCGACTAGCGTGACCTAGAGTGAGTTTGAGAGTTGCAAGGTCTAGACAGAACCACTGTTTTGCCAAGATTTATGCTTCCTTGCTCTGCTGGGGTGGATAAACTACTAAAATGTGGCGCCACCTTGCTTTGTTTCCAGCATGTGTTGACTGCTTCTTGTTGATAAAGAAATTAAGGCTTTCTAATGGAAGTATAATCATTAAGCCAAGAAAAAACAGCATTGGTATTGTTTAAACAATCTTATTTCTGTGCATGTATAACCATAATATCACTACAGTAATCATGGCGGAGCTGTAAATAACTGCAATAACTGCCTAACCTCACCTTGCACGTCTTTACCGCCTGCATTCACAGATTGTGTTTGCAGATCTTGGATATAAAGCTCGTGGCAGCTTTAGCAAACTCATTACACCCCAAATCCCATTTTTATGAGTCCCAAACTTCAGGGCTGGGGATTCACAGATTAACACAAGAGTTGTTGAGTTGCAGTTTTGAAAGTGACCAGTCAACTTCTAGACCCACCAGAGCCAAAACTTGGGGTGTCCAGAATGAGAAGCACCAACCCTAAATGAGCAGAACCACTCTAATACCAATCAATACGAACCACTTTAGAGTTTATGGTATTTGTTTGACATAGTTGGCTATTTGTTGTGTTTTATTTTCAGCCTTAAGAGGATTTGGGAATAATTTAACTTGGTCAGTTGTTGTTAAGAGCTCCATTTAAGTTTGAGTGTGGGCATTACTGATATAAGAAGAAATCTACATATCTGATAGTTATTTTCTAATTTAAATAATTTCCACTATCTTATCTGTGCATGTTGATTGTCGTACTTTAAGGCATCAGCTACCACCAGAGGCCCTGACATGAATGTAGATGGACCGAGAAATAGAATTAGAATTAAAACAAGTGATTAAAAAGCATTTGACAATAAAAAGCAGGATTCAAGAAGTGATTAAAGAGGACTCGGTGAGGTCTCCAAAGGTCATATTAATTACTGGGACAACTTTAGGGAACAGTTTCAGGGACGGCGTGAGCACTAATGAGCTCACACACTGTGTCCAACCTGCTCGGTGGAGAAATAGTTTTACATTATTCAGCAGCAACGGGTTAAAAGAAATGTACAGTTTTCACCTCTTAAAATAGTGTAACGATCGTGCTCTGGGTCTAGTACACTGAGTTATATTGGAATTAACATACAGATTGGAAGAAAGTCAAAACTCTGTAATAAAATTTTTCTTATCTTACCTTTTACACAACCCACAGCCACGAGTGGGTGTAGAGAAGTGGGAGAATTTAACTTGCTTTCTTGGCGACTTTTCCTTATTGGTCATTTTCAGTAACTTTTTGGCAATCTTATTAACGGTAATTAGAAAGAGCTTTAGATATCCACTCATACTGAATTGATTAACTGTTTACTCTCAGATGTTTTCTTTAATGGTGGATATATCTGTGTAATATATTTATATAAAATCATTTTGACTGGAGTATTTGTGCCTGGGCTTGGACTCACACTGGGCAGGAGTTGGAGACGAGTCCTCAGACATATTCACTGATTGGATTGATGCGTCTGTGCCATTATAATTTATTCTGTTTGACCAAAGGCTGGCATGTGTGTTTACTTGTTCACACATTCGCATGCTGTCTCGTTCAGCTATAGTTCCTGCCAGGATGCCGAAAGGGATGCCAAAAGTGTGTTTTCCTTTTAAAGATTTTACAGTGTGCGCAAGCAAGAGCAGGGCAACATGTTCAATATGTACAAAGTTCATCAGGGAGAAACACAACAACAGCCTTATGTATGAGATATATCAGAAAAGAGTAAGACTGTTAGACTGTTGATTGTGTTACCATAAGCATGAGGTGGCCATATTTAAAATCTTTAAAGCTCCTGTGAGGAACTTTTGATTTGTGTTGACTTTGGCGCCCCCTGTGGTCAAAACAGTCTTAGATTGTCTTGCCTGAGTTGTGATTCATATCAACAAATCTCATTTTGTTGACTTTTGACAGTCACATTGATCATTTATGGTGGCGTCTTATTTGGAAACTCTAAAACTTGGGCTGTTTTCTCGTCTGCAAGGCTTGCACTGGTGTTAGATAATAAAATTAGGATATAAAATCTAAAGTATAGTTGATATTGGTTTTGTTTGATTTTGTACATCATTAAAAGGCAACAAGATACATTTAATGCCAAAAACTCCTTACAGAAGCTTTGAAGAGGAACATTGTTTTATTATTAACCTGCATAAAGTAAAGGTAAACCATTTTAAGCTCTTGTGAGGAGTTTCCTGACTACTACGATTTCTTCTTGTCATTGTGAAAGTGTGTTAATCGACACAAAATCTCCTCATGTTTCCTTGTCACTGTGAATTTTATAACTCTGTATAAGTTACTGTAGTAGTGAAAGTAACAAAGGCTATTTCTTCAGTGTACCTACCCTTTCACAGCAATTTCAGGTGTTAAAAATAACAGTTTTGAAATTGCCAATAGGGTTGTTTATGTTCTCTTTTGCTTTAATGCATCAGAGAAATACATCACTGTTCATTTCAGTCAAAAACTTTACACCAGCGAATAATCGCCGATTAGCTTAATGCTAACATTACGTTGGAAATGCCATTGACAGGCTAGCGCATTAGCATCGCTAAGTTTTCTCACATGAATTATGAACTGCTTTTGACATTTTAACGGGTAATTTCAACACAGTAACAACCAGTACTCACAGACAAAGGTACCTTATACAATACAAATCCTCATAAAGAAGTTTAATTTTTTTACAAACTGAACACCAATGAACAATTGCTGGTTAGTGTAATGCTAACGTTAGAGTGGAAATGCCATTGACAGGCTAGCGCATTTGTATCGCTCTGTCCGAAAGTTATCCTACATGAATTATGAACTGTTTTTGAAACTTTAACAGCTAAGTTCAACACAGTAATGTCCAATACTCACAGACAAAGGCATTCCAGGGTACAGATGAGAAAAATGATTGAGCAAAAACAAACAACTTCACTTCAACCTGCGTGTCTGTGGAAAGAAACTTCTGCAAGTCTAAAGGGACAGACGGCACGGCAGAGTAAACAATCCCCCCTGCTCTCTAAAGGGGCAGCACCTTACTGTAGCTTTAAGTACATAGTGGTGTGTTTTGATTTTTAAATAACTGTAAAAATGAGCCGAGACTTTAATATTTAACTTTTAGCTTCAACAAAACTCAGTCAGTCCTTTAAACCTGCGCTCGGAGTCAACACACTGTCTGTAATCTGTCACCATTATACTTTTTTTTTTTTTCTTGTGAATATTAAAGCCCATAACTTAATTCATGAAACAAAAATGATTTTCTTTAGTCAAATTTTTGTTTCTGTTCGGCTGTGACAGTTTGTTTCAGCCGCTCCAGAGAAAGCGAGCGATCACCTCCAGTGAGAGGAACGAAAGCACCTGCTGAAAGGCTGGATTAACATTTCAATTCAGCGACACACAACATCACAGCAGCCTTTTTTTTTTTTACTTAAGAATATTAATACTAATAGTAATGTTAATAATGAAAGTGAATTAAATGGGCCCTAAGGATCTGTATTTAACTGTGTGTAATGAATTCTGTGGCGGTGGGGCTATTGTTCGGGCTAATGAAAGGAGAAATGACTGTGGTCAGGCAGAAGCACAGAATAGATTAATAGATCACAAAGAAGTGAACTCAATTTTGAGAGTCCTAATGAGCTGTCAGTTTCCAGCGCTGCAGTGTTGTCAAGGAATTTTAACTTTCGCATGCAGATGGAGTGGCGGTGGATGGACTGAGACGAAAAAGAAGAGTGAAAGAAGTGACAGGGGAAGACAGAGAATGTCCATCTGGAGGTCAAAATCGTTTAATGAGCACTATTGATGTAATAATTAGAACAGCAGCAGGCTAATGAAGTCATTAATCGCTGTATGTATTTTCACTTTGCCATTTAAAAGGCATCTGTTTAAGTTATTTACCTATAGCAGTTGGGCTGTTTCCACTAACGATTTACTGGAAACCATTAAAAGTGAAAGGTTGAATTGTTTGGCTGTTGATGTTGAATTGAAAACTAATAACTGTCTGGGTTTTTACTGCTTAGTTTTACTTTTTACACAGTTTTCTTGAACTTTACAGCTTTTGATTAGAGCTTTAGAGAAGATTTTTTTTTAAAACTTGAATTTGTTCATTTTAATTTCTCGTAGTTTGAGTAACAGACGTGCGTGGTCATGCCTCGTCCAAGCTAAGCAGCGACCTCCAGTCTTAAGAAATGAAGCCAATTACTAAGTGCCAAAAACTGCAGTTCCTTGAGTGGCCACTTGAGGCTAAAGGCTGGCAGCAGAAGCACCCAAAGCCTGTTCCTAGAGCAAAAACAAACACATTAAAAAGCCAGATCTATATAGCTCTGGGCTTCCACAACATCTGCTACACCACTTTAATTTTGAAGATATTAAGGTCTATTTGTGAGGAAGCGAAGGGGCTGGTAGGTTAGCTTAGCATAACCAGCATGGCGCCATTGAGCCTCAAAACCCAATTCACCAACAAATGGCCGATGTCACCGAAGCATAGTCGCTTGATTTATACCTAGGGCTGCAACTAACAACTTTTTTAATAGTCCACTAGTCACCAACTATTGAAACTATAAGTGGAGTAATCGGATAATGATAATTTTTTCTTAAATTTAACATTTTCACCTTATCTTGACTAAAGTGCTCCAAATCTTTGGCGGTTTTTAAGCAGGTACACGTAGCTGTACTAGACGCCGGTGCCGCCATGTTTGAATACCCTGCTGCTCAGTGGAGACACAATTGCATATGTGTGACAATAGAATTCATTGTCGACTTTTTTTAATTATCGATTTTTGTTGACGTTGACTAATCAATGCAGCTCTATTTAAATCTATACATCAGATTTTAACAGATACTCAACAATACCTCACCATAAGCAACTTTACGACAGAGAGAAACTTGTACTCACCGGTTGGAAGTTCATCCTGTTATCCTGCTCCTTCCTAAATATGGTTTTATCGGTTTGAGCTTCACACTCATCCTGTTGTCTCCTCCCGTCTCTTTTCATTACAGCTGAAAATATGTGGCCAGCCCAATCAGCTGCTTTTGATTGACAGGTGATTGAATTTTTGGCAGGTCAGATGTTTTGGTTGACTGACAGCAGACTTTCACACAGTGAAGCAGAACCACCAGCCTATCCCTCAAGTTTAGTTTTTTTTCTCCTGATATCACCTGTTCAAAATGGCCAAAGCAGCAGCTGTGCCTCAGTGATAGTCAGTCGTCTCCTCAACACAAGCATGATCCCTCTGTGCGCATCCAAAACACAACAACATTAACAGGATGAGACATCTAAATATTCTTAATTGTGAGTTCTGTTTCTTTATTTTCTTCGTGTTGTCTGTCTGCAGAAAACCGATCAATAAAGTGGTCGGAAAGACTGATCACCTCCTGGGTTTCGATGTCTGATATCTCCTCAGTGGTTGGAGTCCACCCGTCTCCTAAACCACAGTCGTCTTTGAGATGAGGACTGTGTAAATCGAGAAGTCACCTCAGACAAGGCCACTGGGCTAAGTACATCATTAATGTCATGTAATTCATCCCTATCACATTCTGGGCATGGCAAATTAAACCACATACCTCTCCTGCTGGAGAGGAAAAAGGTCAAGGAGAACCAGGGAGTCGTTTCATTATCAGATCGTCGGATAGTGGGGAACTTTTCAATTTAACATATAACTTCCATGACGAGTGCACATCTTGAACTTGAAAGCAAACTCATTTTAAATATGCTTGACGAGTTTCTCTCAAAATTAGGACCTGTAGGAGTTAGTTATCGGTTTATTTCTGAGGATTATTTTATGCCTCCAAGGCAAGATTTAAAAAGAAACTGCAAACTGTGGTATATTTCACACACTCGAGCTGTGCACAGAAATCTTCCATTGTTGGATGCTAAATAGAAAGACCAAACTGTGAATGACATTGAATCCTCTCAGATAAGAAAACCTCATCTAATCAGGCTGCACAGTGATGGATGCACACATTAGCAGCCGCAGGAGTGACTTTAATTCTACATTTGATGCACTGACTCATAGTGACACAAGCAGGGTGAGTGAAACACAAGCTGTGTTAACGACTGTGTTATCTTTAAGATAATGCCTGTGTTTCACCAGGCGCATGTAGACGGCAATTTACAACTAAATGGAAGTGTTTCTTACGTAATTGTTGAATAAGTACCGTAAAACTTCAATTACAAGCCAGTACGGATTTAACGTTACATGTCTTTTGCTGGTGCATGTTTTTATAAATAGATGCTGGTTTCATCAAGAGGATGGATCTAGATCATGTTGATCTAGTCGTCAGTGCAGTGAAAAGTCACCACTGGGTTGATTCAAAAGGAATCAGACAATGGCGAGAAATTAAATCTGATATTTGGCTTGAGCAACGAGAGGAAGAAACCCAGCGTGGGGTGGATACACAGCTTGCAAACGCAGCATACAAGAAGCTAGATTCAGTTTCCTCCAAAGGGTTCGGCCTTCAGGGTCTGGAGCGCTGACATCTGTAGGTTTATCAGAACAGAGACACTAATCCTTCACATTGAAAGGACTCAGCTGAGATGTTTCAAGCGTGTGATTGGGATGCCTCCTGGGCCTCTCCTTTTAAAGGTTTTCTCAGGGCATGTCCAGCAGAGGGGAGACCACAGGGTCGCCCTAGAGCTCACCAAAGGGAATATGTATCCCATCTATGTATGAGTGTGCCCTTGGGAGAGCTGGAAAGCATTGCTGAGGAGAAGGATGTCTTAACTGACTTGCTGCCACACACTCAGGATTCGGTTGATTGATGGAAAAACAGGGAAAGATGCTTCGTTTCACTTTCTCTTTAAATCACACTTCAGCTCTTTTTTATTGCTTCACACTCCTTCTCGTGGTTTAATTTGTGTTTAGTCTTCAGGAAACTTTAAAAACTCCTCCTTTTCTCTCCCTACTGTCTTTTTCATAGTTCAAGAAGTTTGATAATCACTTTGACAGAGGGCGCAGCCATGTGAGAAATCTGCGTTGGCTTTATCTGCGTTGGCTTCTTGTTAAAAGGAAAATGTTGATATGAAAAACACATAAAATTAAATAAAGAAACCTACACCAGAGAATATAATGACATACAGAAGTAAATAAAGAAGTAATTATTCCACTTGGTGTTGTGCTGCACTTATGTTTGGGAGAACAGGTACAGGCAGAGCTGATTCTGGAGTGCGCAAAAACTCTCAAGGGGCCCCTCATATAAATTATCTAAAAACCAACAAGAGGTCAGAAACAGAAACTTTAGAAAAATAATAATCATTATTACCACATAATTTGAAGATTTTGCTCTAAAATAGCTACAGCTCTGGTATGTTTTTACCACAGCATCCAGCACCTCACCTTTGTTCCAAGATTTGATGTCTGAGACTTACTTCAGTTTGTTATTTGCTCCAAAATTGATAGTGTTTCATGCAGAAAGCACACTGGCTAAATTTAGATCAAAATTTCAAAGCGTCAATAGTGTAAGAGTTAGGCGATTAACTTTCATTAATAGCGTTTGATTCACAGTGAAAGCTGTTGTCTGGGTTAGCTGTTTTTTTCTTCCATTCAAATCCCTCCCTTACCGGTGTTGTAGTTACTTTGGTGAAATTTCAGTATCGTACAAGCGCATTTTCTCTCTGTTGGCTATCCTTGCAAGACAGTGCGGGTGTGTAAGTAACAGCGAGTCAACTAAGCGGGAACCCCAGGCTAACGTCCCCACGGTTAACTACCTACCCAACAATTAACAGCTCCACTTAGCGCTGTCTTGCTTTCTCCTTATTTCTTTCTCTTTACTTCTCCTTCTTTTCTCACGCCCTGATCCTTCAAGGCTAGTTTTGACGTTACTTTGATTGACACACTTCAGTAAACATGGACGTAGGTCACCCAGCAGTGCAGCGGGGATGACATGGGGCCCCTTTCAGAGGGTATCCGTCTAAGATGTCATTGCAATTTGACCACTCGTTGTTTGTTGCAATATTTCAGGACATTGTTGTGGAGTAAGGTTCGTCAGCCCTTGGGGGGGCCCTCTGGTGGCCCGTCTTGATACAGGTCTTGATTTAGATGCATACAAATGCAAACACAAGGATGCTAATTATATCATCTCTATAAAACTTATTTAACCAGAACTGCGAACAAATATATCAGAGGTGTCCACTTAAACTGTCTGGGTACTAAAACTTCATATTGATCAGGCTGCCAATCAAAACTTAAAGTTTTTAAAGGCCAGGGAGCAACATAATATTAATTAATATGCAAAGACATTGAGTCCTATATGTGCCCTGTGCTTATACAGATATTATAAATATGCAGATATGAGTCTAGTTGTGCAAAGTTTTCCTCCAGTATGGAAGGAGAAGATGCCTGCCGCCCTGATGTCAAGAGCTGAGTAAACCCTTCACAGCCATTTAGAATTACACATTAATTAAAAAACACTGAGGCTGTAGGGGAAAGGAGAGCTTTCTGAATGTTGTTGAGGACAAATGCATTTTGTTTTTGTGTGACGAGTCCATCACATCAGCGTAAATCCTACATGAGGGACTCACAGGTATACGTTCATTAAAATACTGAAATGCTTTAGGGAGACAAGAGGCATCCTGAACGTTGCAGAGTGATGAGTCTGCTCTTCTTCTCATTATTCATTTCAGCTCCAGTGCGTCTAACAAGCCTTCATTAAGCAGCGATCTTAACTTCATCCCGGACTGTTCAAATGTCACAATAACACTAAGTATGGTTTTAAGTCAGGAGGATTTCTTCTTTTTTTGCTTTGGTGGTCATCAAACCAGCTTGAAAAAGTAGATCTGGAGTTAATTAATGAAGGGATGGTACACAGTTCCCTCTCATTTTTCAATTGGAGCACTTTGATACAGCAATTAGTAACTCTTACATCCAGAACATTACAGCAGCAGCAGCAGCTCTTTGCCGTCCTGACAGCCGAATCGAGACTCACAGCTCAAAGCAGATTTTTCCCAGACCACTGCTCTCTTTACATCAAGAAGAATATAAATTATATTATCTCAAGTTGTGTAATTGCTTTAAGGCTTTGGACTAATCAAACATTAAGCATTTGGTCTTATTTAAACTGAGTGCAGCTCCGGCTTTATTTAGACTGTGCTTTCAGAAATAATGGGTGTCAAGCTTTTCCAGGCTGTTTGCATTGATGTCTCTCAAGACATGGCTGGGTGGCTGTAAACTGCTCTTTTCTGTTTGCTTGGATCTGTAACCAAATGGACAATTAGCAGGTTTTGGGGAGCAGATTAGTGGAGTTTTTTTTTTCACTGGGGATTATTTGACTTGATTTTCGTGCAATTTTGGCAGCCGCGTGTGTGGCAGGGAAGGACCTGTTCTTGTGAGCTTTTTGGATAATCCACACTGAAAAACCCTGAAGGGAAGCCAGAGAACAAATTGAGCAGTATGTCTCATTAGTCATGGAAGTTTGAATTTCAGTATTTTCATATTGAAATCCAAGATTTTTAATGATTTCATGCAACCTCATCTCCCAAAAAGTTGGGACTCTGCAACATGTTAGTAAAAAACAGATTTTGTAGATTTGCAGATCATTGAGACTCTATATTTGATTATAAATATTGCAATGAGAAGACATTACATGTGTTAAACTAATAAGAAATTTGTTGTGCAATGAAAAGTCTGTGCTAATTTTAAATTTGATACTAAGTTTGAGATGGGTTGATTAAACACTAAAAGAGTTTTGTGAGGCATAAAAATAACACCCAGAAGATCATTTTCTTGTATGCAATAATGTTGGTGATATGACTGGGTAAACAAAGAAAAAGGCTGAGCCTCTCAGAAGTGAAGATAGGAAGAGATTCATCACTCCAGGGAGACTATATCAAGTAAATGATCAATGATTACAGAATAATGTTCCTTATTAGGGATTTCATCGTCTATAATGATACTAAACATATCAGAGAGTCAG